CAAATGAACTCCAAAACATGGACACTAGATGTTTTTCTTTGTTGTTGTTTGTAATGTACTATGTGATTTCTTGTTTCTTTTGTGTGTGCTTCCCCTATGGTATATCCCCTGTTGTCACTGTATTTGATTTTGATACCCTGGTACTGTATATACATTTATCTGAATTAGGGAAGGGAAGGGGTATTGTGCCTAAGTCACAGGACCCCCACCAAGAAGACCACCGAGAGTCAGACTTTACAGCTATTTTAAGGTTTTATTTAGATGGGCTGCAGCTCGGGCCTCGTCCTACACTCCGACACAGCGGAGCCTCAGAGGAGAGCCCTGAACTAAACATTTGCAAGGTTTATAAAGGCACAACCAACCAGGTGTTTGGATTACCACCATGTGTTGCTCTGCTAGACAGAATTTGCTGATCTTAGGTTTAGTTTAAATAAGCAACAAGTGGTCACTGCCTCAAAATTTTAACCCTTCATTCCCCCCCCCCTTGACTTATGGTCCTGAGACATAATCTTGTGGCTCTGGCCCAAAACTAAACTCCAACAGCTCTCGATCTTGACTAGTCACTCTCTGACCTTAGCCATGTTGTCTTTTGCTATTCCTGAATGGTCAACGTAAAAACAGCACTCTTCTCCTGGGCCAGCACAAAGTTCCTCTTGTTGTACTGAGCAGCTTCCAGGAGTTCTGCAAATACTAATAACAATCAGTCCATTGTTCTTTTCTTGAGGCATACGTGGAGTGGTTGGGTAGGATCTTGGAGACTTCCCATGTTTCCCCACGGATGTCCAGGGCAAAGGGGTCAGCCGGTCTGGCGTGGGAGCAGTGGATCCAAGCAGCAATGCTGTCCACCTTAAGGGCAGTGGGTGTAGCCAGTAGCACCATGTAAGGTCCCTTCCACCATGGTTCCAGAGATCTCAAGTTGTGTCTTCGAACAAACACCCAGTCCCCTGGTTTAAGCGAATGGGGGGGGTAGGAATAGAAGCAGAATCATATAATGCTTTTAGTTGAGGCCATATACTCTTATGCATCAGCTGTAAATAGTCAAGCTTACACAGAAATTCAGTATCATCCAAATCAGCAAGCAATTCAGTCTGAAAGCTAGGGATAATGGGGGAGGGTGTCCATACATTATTTCAAAAGGAGTAAAGCCAAGCTGATAGGGTGTAATTTCTTACTCTAAACAGGGCAAAAGGAAGGAGTGATACCCAGTCTGTGCCAGTCTTCAAAGCCAATTTAGTTAAGGTCTCTTTTAGAGTTCGATTCTTTCTTTCTACCTGCCCTGAACTCTGGGGTCTATAAGCACAGTGCAATTTCCAATCCATCCCCAGTGCTGCGGCTATTCCCTGATTTACTTTTGAGACAAAGGCTGGTCCATTGTCTGACCCAATGTGGATGGGAAGCCATACCTGGGTAGGATTTCTTCCAGGATCTTCTTAGCCATGACATTTGCGGTCTCATGCTTTGTTGGGTAGGCTTCAACCCATCCTGAAAAAGTGTCTACAAAAACTAGCAAATTTTTATACTTCCCAATACACACCTGGCCTATCTCCACTGAGGCGAGCTCCTTTGGTAACTGGTTGATTGGGGGCATTGGTGAGCTGACAGGCTTTACAATTTTTAACAATGATTTCCTTGCCTAATTTTTACTTCTGAGTGTCAGAGCAAGTCCTGCATTCTTCAGGTTTCCATGTGAGAGACCCGATGGATTCTCTTAAGAATCCCCTTGCCCAATCTTTGTGGCAAGTAAGTTTCCTCTCACCAGTTTTCCACCAGTCTTTGTTTCCTTCTCTGTCCGGGGGTTTATAGGTCATGGGAATTTTCTTTATCCACTCCAAGTCTTCTTGCGAGTACTGAGGCTCAGGAGGCAAAGCTCGTGGCCCTGGGTCTACTAAGAGTCAGTACTTCCGCTTTGGGCTGGAGGGCTGCCTCCTTAGTTGGCTGATTGGCCAACTTATTTCCTTTGGTTATTGAATCCATTCCCTTTTGATGGCCAGGGCAGTGCATAATGGCAATATTTGATGGTTCCCATAAGTCTTGGATGAGGCTTAAAATTTCTTGTTTGTTTTTAATAGTTTTTCCCTCAGCTGTCAGCAGCCCCCTCTCTTGGTAAATGGCTCCATGGACATGCACAGTGGTAAAAGCATACCGACCGTCCATGTAAATGTTTAGTCTCTTCCCTTTTCCCATCTGTAGGGCTTTTGTTAGTGCCACTAGCTCTGCTCTTTGTGCAGACGTTCCCTGGGGGAGTGCTTCTGCCCACACTATCTCAGTGTCTGTGGTGACTGCTGGGCCCACGTACCTTTCTCCATCTTGAATGAAACCGCTGCCATCTGTGAACCAGGTATGCTCAGCATGTGATAGTGGTGAGTCCTACAAGTCTGGCCTCTTTTCCTTGGCCCGGTCTCTCTTTTCACACTCAATTTCACATTCTCTCTCCTTCCTTTCCTGTCTTTGCTCCTCTGTCTCTCTCTTATTGTAATCCTTTTCCGCCATGGCTACTAGATCCCTAATAGACTTTTCACCAAGTCTGTCTAGAGCCTGCAACTTTTGCTTTATGTCTGGTGCAGCTTGATTTATATAGGCAAACATAATCATCTGAGCTGACTCCTGGGTCTCAAGATACTGACTAAAAGCTTCCATGAGCTGCTCAAGATAAGCTGCCGGACTTTCACTTCCTCCCTGTCTAACATCATATACTTTGGCCATATTAGTAGGTCGGCGAGCTGCTGCCTTGAGACCTGCCAACAGAGCCTGGTGGAAAACAAGGAGTCGCTCCCTACCTTCAACCGTATTGTAGTCCCATGTTGGTCGGATCTCAGGAAAATAGGCAGCGATCAGGGCAGGATCCGTGATGGGCGCTCCTGTGGGGCCAGGGATATGTTTCCAGGCCACCTCTTGGTTATGGTCTCTCTCTTCAGTGGTAAAAAAGGACCTGTAAAAGCAGACTACAATCATCCCAAGTGGGCTGATGAGGAAAGAGAATAGTTTCAAGCAAACGAATTAAATCCTGGGGTTTCTCAGAAAAGGGGGCATTTTGGGTGCACCAATTTATAGATCACTGGTAGAAAATGGCCAATATTGGAATTGCTGTTGACCATCCGCACCTACAGGACCTACGGCACATAAGGGAAAAATAGCTGTATTAGAAGGGGGGCTGATCCCATGGTGTCATTTAGTGACTGGCCCCTCAGAAACTTTAAGGGCAGGTGCAGAGGGTTCTATAGCTCCCTCCTCCTCTTGATCATTCTCAGGTTCTGCAAAAGGAACCTGGGAAGGGGAATATGGGGGAGGAAACATTTCTTCTTCCAAGTTATCTCCCTGAAAAACTGGGGGGTACCTTTTCTTTTCCTCTTTCTCAGTTTCTTTTTGTAAGTCTAGGGGGCTGGATGGAGTGGTGCCCATGGTTTCCAGTCCCCTCAAAAAAAACAATAAGCAGTACAAACAAAACACATGCAGGCCTGACAGTTATGAAGTGGAGATCTCCTGAATTGATCCCCTGACTCCTGTCACGGCCGGGTTCCACACCCACACCCCACAGCAGAAGGAATAGACCCACAGTGTGAGAGTTGGGCCTCGGTTAGGAGGCCCTCCATGGTCAATTCCGGCCCAACACCGAACCGACCTCTGCCCCACAATTCACACGGCAGGGTTCCAAGGACCCTCTCCCCACCCCACACAGTGGGGTTCCAAGGACCCCCTGCTCCACAAGAGGATCTGGGACGTCTCTCAGTTCCTCCAGGGTTGTATGCTTCGACAACCCTTTACACAATAAGAATCGGAGAGGCTGTCCTCACAAAGGAAAACGAAAGTACAGACAAACGACAGGACAAGACAAATTAACAAAAACAGCGCTGTTTTACCTTTGGAGTCTGAGGTCTCGGGGATCTTTGGGGGGATCCCGGATGAGCCCCCACTAATATGTTGTTCCTAGGTCGCAGGACACCCACCAAGAAGACCACCAAGAGTCAGACTTTACAGCTGTTTTAAGGTTTTATTTAGACAGGCTGCAGCTCGGGCCTCATCCTACACTCTGACAGTGGAGCCTAAGAGAAGAGCCCCAAGTTAAAGATTTGCAGGGTTTATAAAGGCACACAACCAACCAGGTGTTTGGATTACCACCACGTGTTGCTCTGCTAGACAGAATTTGCTGATCTTAGGTTTAGTTTAAACAAACAACAAGTGGTCTCAAAACTTTAACCCTTCAGGGGAACAACAAAATGGTGAGACAAAGGACAGGGGCAGAAATGTAGGGGAAGCAATACAATATGTTGGAAATGATCTGTACAACTTGGGGGGAGTTTTGGGGGAAAAGTGGGAGAAAAATGAGGGAAGGGGTAACAAGTTTGACAAGAAATATACTTATTATTTATGTAACTGTAACCCCTCTGTACAGCAACTTGACAATAAAAAATAGAACAATAAAAAAAATTTGCAAAATTGCCTGCCAAAGGAAATATTTTCTTCTGGATGGCAAAGCTTTTCTAGACCATGAACACTGTGCTTGTGGATCTTTTTGTGCCTGTCCATCTTCCTGCTGCCCTGCATTCTAGACATGCCTCCATGTTTTCCTTCCTTCCTTCCTTCCTTCCTTCCTTCCTTCCTTCCTTCCTTCCTTCCTTCCTTCTTCCTTCTTTCCTTCCTTCCTTCCCTCCCTCCCCCTCCCTCTCTCCTTCCTTCCTTTCTTCTTCCTTCCTTCCTTCCTTTCTTTCTTTCCTTCTTTCTTTCTCTTTCTGCTGATCCTGCCTGGGGCTTGAACTCAGTGCCCAAGCACTATCCATGAGCTTTTGTGCTCAAGGCTATCTCTCTACCACTTGAACCACAGTTCCACTTCTAGCTTTTTTGGTAGTTAATTGGAGATAGAGTCTCATGGGCTTTCCTGCCCTGGGTGGCTTTGAACCATGAACCTCATATTTTAGCCTCCTGAGTAGTGAGGATTACAGGTATAAGCCACCAGCACTCAGGAAGCCTCTAATGTTTAATGTCAGTGTTTTCTTCCAGGAACAATGAACCATTCTGTCCAGGACACTGCCTCTCAGGGTGTGCATGAAGATGGAAAGCTCTATGTTGTGGATTCCATAAATGACTTAAACAAATTAAACCTTTGTCCTGCCGGATCCCAGCAGCTGTTCCGTATGTGTGCCTGGATTGGCTTGCTTACCATTTCTAGGTTCAGATTGCCTAAAAGTAGCAAAGGCTAATATGGATATATGGGGGTTGGGAGGGAGAATAGGGCACTGAGGATGCTCTTGGGCAAAGATACAAACTTATAAATTACTACTTATAAATTACCCAATTAAAGGATATGTGTGGGGACAGATACTAAAACAAAAATTTATTGAAAACAAAATGTGTATTAAAGTTAGAGCTGTCTGAACTCCTTTGTTAGTTTGAACACTGGCATTTAGACCTAGGTATAATTGTTCAATAGTCATTTGCTTTATAAAGACATTAATTTCAATTTCATATTTCATATTTGCTCCAATTCATATTTGTCACCCCATACTAAAATCCTTTCTCAGCTATTGCTCTTTTTTTTTTAAAGTTTTTCACATTTTTATTAGTGTCAGTCACTCATACCAAATGATTTTATTTTGACATGCCCCTAGAAGCATACAATGTACCCTGGTCAGATTCGTCCCCTCTGTCACTGTTCTTTACCACCAAAAGCCCTTTTCCCAAAGCAACCTCAGCAACCTTCCCTTCATTGGTCCATTTTCACAAGTGTACATAGTATTCTGGCCACATTCATCCTTCTTCACCCTTTCCATTTAGCTTCCCCACTCCTATTAGTACACTCATCCCAGACAGGACCCATGTTTTACATTCCTGTCATTCACTCTTTTTAGCATCTGCTCACTGGTCAAAGGAGGTTTACTGTGATGCTTCACACAGTATTTTAATTGGATTGATCCCTCATTAGTCTCACTTGCCCTTTCTCCACTACCCTCTGTTATTCACCCCAGAGTGCTCTATCTTCTTACCCATAGGATGTGTTCCACATGGAGCTCTGCTTACTGTGGGGTAAGGGAGTGTCTTTGGAAGAGGGGCAACAGAGCCTCCATCTTTCCTAACCTTCCCTTCTTTATGCCCTTCCTAAGGAACCATTTATATTCTTACCCATGTTGGTATTCCAATTCACATTCACTTTATAGCTAACACAGTCTTCAGGAATTTTCCAAACAGGTCCAAGGAGATAGCTTAAGCCCACTCATTCTTTGAATACCAATGTAGAAGAAGGTAAACAATGCCAAAAATTACTCCAGGCCAAAGACACTCCTAGTACATAAGTCACTTTCCAGGGTCATTAGAGGGAAAATGGCAGTATTATTTATCACTCAGCTCTCTAAAAGTGGGCCACTCTTATTTTCTGTTGCCAAGTTGTATGCTGAGGACTTTTTGTCATTTTTTCTTTGCTTCCTTTAGCGCTGGAGGAGAAAACCCCAGACCTTGGCATGAACTCTGGAAATGGAAGCCGTAGTCTGTTTTTCATGGGGTTGCTCATTGTGCTGATTGTCAGCCTGGCGCTGGTGTTCTTTGTGATCTTTCTAATAAGTAAGTACTCCCTCCAACACTGTTCCTCATAAACAATGTTTAAGGGACATTGTTCTTGGAATGAGTCAGGCTATCAGAACTTCTATGGAAAGTCAGAGGGAGAAGGGCCACTTTGAATGAACCCTGCCATTCTAGGATAGGATGACAGGGACCAGCCCACAGCCTAAGTCCGCGGTCCCAGATCATCACACGCACCTATGGTAAGTATTATATCCTGGATCCAAAAGAGACTCCAAGACACCAGTTAAAAGAGCTAGGAACTTGATGACAGGGTAGGATGGGTTTTTATAGGGGTAAGTTACGTAGAGTTACATAGATGAGCTATGCAAGGCAGGTTTGGCACATTTTCATTGGTTATAGTTATATGACCTTTAAATTCATTTGCTTTCTATGGTATATATCATGTATAATAATTTGCAATAATCCACCCATAGTGGGACCACTCGGTGGTGGTCTTCAATTGGTGGACAGTGGTGATGTCACCTTTGGGCTCAGGGCCCTGTTACTGAGGCAAGCAAGCAAGGTTACAGAAGCAAACGTAGCAGAAATGTAGCCTTGAGTCACAGGAGCATAGGCAAACATGATCTTGACTTGGTCAGCATGACCAATGCTATCAATGCTATTGACACTATTACAGAAATGATCTTTAATATAAGCTCCTGACTAATACAGCAGCTCAGTGCAGCTGGTGATAAGCCTGAAGGTTGTCAGTACCTTCTGCAAAGCTGCCAGCTTGGTAAACTTGAGGGAGAGATGAGATGTTCTTTTGCTTTTTAGCAAGGATAGAGAAGGGGCAAAGGCTGACTACTGGTCAGCCTTTGTCTGGGTTTTTCTTTACCAAGAGGTTTTGCCCTTTATCGGTAATTTTGTTCTGTTTTCTGATTTCACCTTTTTGTTCTCATGGATGTCCTTCTTTTCCAAGGGAAAGGGGGTTCAGGGGAGAGAGTAAATTTCCAACAGCAGGAGGGACTGAGGCCAGACAATAGGAGGGAGTTTCTGCAGTGAATAGCAACTCATATTACAGCAAGTATTTATAGGACACTTTAACTCTTTATTGGGAGTCCCTTGCTGTCAAATGGTAAGCTACTTATTCTAGTGAATCCTTGGTTTTCTTTATTCAGTATATAGGATTCTCCATGCTCTTCAGGTCTAGACCAGGGAGTCATAGTCAGATTTCAAGCTCCCTCTCAGCTTCTTCCCTGTATGACACAGTCCAGACCGGTGTCCTGCTCCTGAGAGAACCTGACTTATCTGCTCTGAGAATATTATACCCATGAGTGGTAGCATGGGCATTTTCACATGAGCAAGTTGCCCTAGAGACACCCTGGGCCAACAGTGTCACCTGCTCTTTGCCCCGGATGCCATCTTGCCCCTTTGGGATGCTGTCTCTTCCTTGCACATAGCTCTCACCCACAGAGCCCTCTAGTTTTCTCTTTCAGCTCATCCCTGTATACTTTTATTATTATTATTGTGAAAATTCGGTACAATGGGGTTACAATTACATGGGCAAGGTAGTGAGTACATTTC